AGAGGGTTCTATACCAGTTCTCAAAGTAGCATCTGGGGACCTCTAGTGAAGTCCCTTAGGCCAGCGGTCCCCAACCTTTGTGGCACCAGGGACCGGTGCTCCTATGAGAACCTGGTGATCTGAGGCGGTGACGCCGGCGCTGGGGAGCGGCTGCAGGTGCAGATGGAGCTTCGCTCGCTCGCCTGCGGCTCACCTCCTGCTGTGTGGCCCGGTTCCTAACAGGCCACGGTACCGTCTGCAGACGGGTGGAGACCCCTGCCTTGGGCCCCTTCCGGGGTCCATTGTTTTTACGGTAACACTAAGACACGGTTAGCCTTTACAACCATCATCCCGTAGCCTCTCCACAGGCTACAGGACTGAAGGCGGGCGCAGGCTCGGGAAAGCCAGCTGTCGCTACCGAACCACACGTCAGAGATTCACAGACACACACAGCAAGGCCATTTTCTCAGTGAGTTTTTATAGCTGTTTCTCATAAAAATACGACACTTATGTTAACGTGTAATGGATGTGTTGTTATTACCAGGAGAATTCATATTTAAAATTTTGCAGCTTTACTTCCTAATGTGAAACATCAGACAACAATAACCCACCTAAACACAGCTCTCTGGGATGCTGGCTAACTCTGAAGACCGTAAAGGGTGCTGATACCCCTTCCGTTTAAGTACTGCTGCTCTAAAGGGAGAAAGTATTTCGCTCAGCTGTATGTGCCAGGCGTGACCTGCAAGCAAATGCACTTTGTGGAGGGGCCGTCTTGCCTCCAGAAGACAGCTGGCAACGGCTGGAGGCACTTGCCACAACTGGAGAGGGCGGGGGCTACTGCATCTCCTGGGGAAGGCCAAGGATGCTGGTGAACTTCCCGCACAGCACGGGCACACAGGCGGCAGGGCCGAGGGCTGGCTCCCACGGGGAGGCAGGCGCGGCCTACCAAGCACCCAGCTGGTAACACAGGACAGGCGTGGGCGCTAGGAAGGGGACAGCTCGGGGAAGAAGCAGTTGCTTCCTCGTCACCCCACGGCAGGAAGCCCCTCGCTCCCACTCCGCCCCCTGCTCCAGCCCTCCGCTGTCATGCTGAAAACAGAGCCTGGCACACAGCCCTCAGCAAAGATGCTGCTCAGTGGCCAACGTGGCAACTGAAGGCAGGGAATCCCACTGCCTACCTAATTATCACACGCACATTTCAGAAGTCTTTAAAGTACTATTTGTTCGGATCTGTTCTGAGTTTCAACAGAGTCGTTTAGGGTTGTAAGGAAAATGCTGGGAACAGAGTGGAAAATGTGGCATGGGAGGCCCCTGGAGAAAGTCTGAATCTCGATTCAGCCAACGCAGTGGCCGCTGGTGCCCTGCAGGAGGGGAGCTGGGGACGCTCCTCTCTGGGGGTGACAATCACAGCTGCCTCGCCAGAAAGCACACATGCCAAAAAAAACAACTCCACTGTCCTCTTCCAACTCAACCCACTCAGGTTAAAATTCCTGCCACAGAGACAAGGAACTGGAAAATCAAAATTTTCTTGAAATTTTTCACAAAATGTTATTTATATTAATGTGTAATAGGTGTTACTGTTATTATTAGATAAATTAATGTTTTTAAAATTTCAGTTTTAATTTTTAAAGCACGACCCCACCATCTATACCTGCAAGTCTGGCTCCCTGTCTGAGACACGGGGTGGTGGTGAGGGGGCTGGCAGGAGAATGAAAAGGGACGGATTATAAAGAGAAAGCATTTATTACTAAAGACAGGTGTCAAAATGAGCTAACAAGCTGCAGAGAGAACTGTTCAGCACCCTTTACGGTAACAGATGTTACGTAAGAGTTGCTGTAGAGACCTTGAAACAAAACGAGGCCGAGGCAGGGTATGTAAAATGCATAACCAAAGGACACTAAAACCACCTTTCCTGTGCTTAAAACACATCACTTTGCAAAGAGCATTAATACTTTTAAAACGTAACCCCGGACACAGTACACAAATTAAAAAACAAAAACACCATCACATGATCCGATCCTGCGAAATGGGCTTTAGGACCCTGAGCGATCGACTAAGACCAGAAATAGTCACAAGATGTGCCTCGTTCTGTTGCCACAGATCCCTGGCGTCACACCCAAAGTGAGTTCCCTCCGTCGCCTCCAGAGCGTCCCACTCCCAGGGGGCCGTGAGCCCATCTGCCACCTCACTCCTTAGAAGGGTGCCACGAAATAAACCAGTAGTAAGTACTGGGCAGAGACTTTTATTTCCAGGACACACGTGGACAAGCAAGTCAAATTTAAACATTCCATTTGAAAGAGAAAAAAAGAAAAGAAAAATGTACCAGTACACATTCAAGGAGCAGAAATTTCTAGAAAAAGGCGAAAGCTGTGCAGCGGCAGTTATGACCTTTCACGTTATTTTGCTTCATCGAGCGATCCTGTGACATATCCTGTGGGGAAAACTTCTCTCCAGAGGGGCTGCGCCTAATCTATCCCATTCGGTTAAAAATGGCCAAGTCATTCTAGGGATGAGGAAAGAGGACCATAGAAGTTACGTCACAGTTTGTGGCCACCAGGAGTCAGCACTTTTACCATCTAATCCTGGAGCTGAAATACCTTCCCCTGCACCACCCCCTCCTTTCCTGTCCTCACCGCTGGACTTCACTCTTACTAAAAGCTTAGGCCACCAAACCTTCCTTGTTCCAACTGAAAAGCGTTCTGCAGTGTGAGCTGCTGGCTCCCTTGCTTCCCGTGAGGCCAGAGTCCCATCAACAGGATCGTAGGGCCCGGGCCTTCCCACGCTCGAAGTCGTGCATTAGGTCAACCGGAGGCCACGATCTGCCCGTGTTCTCTGTCGGGATTACTTCCCAAACCCGGCCACTCTGCCCCGGACGGGTGCCTGTTCGCACCTCTCTCGGGCTGTGCGGCCTGAATGTGGTCAGCGTCCCGAGAGAGAGACGAGGCCACAGGGAAACCTGAGCGGACCATGACTGTGAAGGGGACGTGACACTACAGAGATCTGAACAAAAACATGGGGACAGCAAACCGATCTGAATTGTTCGGGTTAAAATATTCACGTTCAGGGGAACACAGGCAGAAGAGGAAGAGCGCGTAGCAATGGTTTGACTCGCCTGAGGCAGTCGTGTTTGGTAAGCGGGCAGAACTAGAAAAATGATGTGACGACACAGGGAAAAAACAGCAATAAAAAAGTTAAGGTTCGACTCAAAGTTGATGAACTGAAATGCCTCGATTTGTATTTCTGCAAAATAATTTACACAGTGATCTGCCAAGTATCAGCTTAATACGCCACGTTGCCTCTGGTATCCTTATGAGGAAGTAGTTAAGGGCCCGACATGTCAGTATTTTTCAGTGGTAATTTCAAGCTCTGTAGCTCCAGCTCTTAGTAGTGCTAGAAAAAAATACAAAAAAACAACTGGGGCATCACATTCAGACGCTGCAGGCCACACCTCAAGAGTCGTAAGGGAATGACAATCCTAGGAGCCCGATCTACCTTAAAACCACTCATTTTACATACTAGTGGTTTTGGTATCTTTCAGAGTTACTGACGGATTTTTCAGGTTCAAATCTAACATCATCCATCCTTACAGCCGAATTCTTTCCACTGAAACAGGAATAAATGAACCACACCCATTGATACTTCTTTGTGACTCTAAGTGAGAGAAGATGAATATGTGAGCAAGAAAGATTTGGGGAGCACTAGAGAGTCTTGGCAGTTTCCATGAAAGATCAATGAACTAAGGAAAGAGAAAACATACACCCTTCCAGAGCGACTAAATTGCATTTAAATCAATTTAGTCAAAAGAGTGACAAGGAAGTAAGCAAGCCAAATGCAAGAAGGCCACAGTAAAACCTGACTATCTACTATCAAGAAAAGGCAGGGAAAACGGGCACAAATAATCCCTACTGATAGTTAGGGAACCGTTTGGATTTCAGCTTTTTGCTTTGCAGAGGGCAAGAGATCTGCTGGAATAAATCGCCTGCAGAAGCCCGGGTTGCTTAGACTGCATCCAATGACAGGGAAAAGATAACCTGGGCTAAAAAAACAGAAGAGGCCACTGCAGATAATGGCCAGCAGAATCCAACTCATTCTAACTTGGCTTGCAAGAGGCTGACACTTTCAAATTAATGTCATTTGTGATAAGACCAGAGACTTCAATGATCCATGGAGAACTAGGACACTAAGTTAAGCTGCTTCTCTGCGCCTAACGATTCAGAAGGGCCTATAAGCTCTGCCTGTCCTTAAAGCTCCTGGACCCTTAGCTCGAAGTGCTCCAGTCCAACAACCAGTCACAAGGAAAAAAAGGCTAAGCTGTGCAAATGCTCTCAGAGCACAACTGTGTGAACGGACGACAGCGACCCCATCAGGTAAACGCAGTCCCTGCCGCGCATTCCCGCTGTTTCCCAATGAGCCCAAAGTCAAGAACCAGAGGAAGTTAGAACTGACCAACGCAGGCAGAAAGAAAATGTGAAAGACGACAGAAAAGCACACAGAATCAGCCAAACTAGATAAGTCAAACTACATCGACGCTACTGGGGAAAGAGGCTGAGGGGGTCAGATGTCAACAAAGGAAAAAGGAGCTGGCTCAGGGAACCGCAGCAGAGACGGCACCGGGGAAGCAAGGGTTGGGGGGAGGAGGAGAAAAAGCTGCTGAGAGGGGGACCTGGCTGCCTGCAAAGGGAGGAAGGGGGGATGGAAAGCTAAAAGGAACGCGAACGCTCCAGCTGGACAGAGCCTGTGGACCCAGTGTCTACAGGACAGGCTGCTAGATGGGGGCGGGGGAGGAGGGGGTGCGGTTAAAATACCAGCGCACAGATATGCACGACGTTCGTAAAGACATTCATGTTTTTCCAAAGCAGAATAACAATAACCTAAAACACTGAAACTGAGGGTTATGGAAGACGTCAGGAAAAAATCTCATACAGGGAAACATTACAAAACCCCAAGTTTTATCAGCCTCGATTTCTGTAACCTAAGTTAAAACCTGTCTAAGCACAAAGTGAATATTTGAGAACAGTTACCTCTGGTTCTAATACGTCTTGTCCTTCTTTGGAACTTTTTCCACTTTTCCCTGCTTTGGGTAAATCCTGAGAAATATCAAGCAGAATCAATTAGGCTTCTCAAAATTTAGACTGATAAACAACAGATAAATCAAAATGCAGTTTTAAAATTGACATACAATTTAACTAGGACTTATGATAGTTTTAATGAATATCAAGAAATTCTACATCATACAGAGAAACAACTAACACAGACGCTACCCTCCCCCAATTCGGATGCTCCTTTTTGTCTGTATCTGAGGTTGAAAACTTTAATCAAATTTATACAGTGCTCTCGGCATTTTAAAAGACCCACATCACATCCCTTTCTTCCCTCCCACGTAAGCGCCGTGCGCGGGGATTTCTGAGGTGATGCTGGAGCTCCACCTGACGCAAAAACAAGTCCCCCCCATGCAAACGCGGCGACACTCACAGCCATCCGCGCCGACACCCGGTGAGGGTAGGGTCTCAAGCCCCGAGCGAGCCTCTGGAGAGCAGGCTAAGCACTGAGCGGGGGCCCTTCGCTCCCTTTCTTCTGGCCGGGAGTCCCCCGCCCGGGGTCTGCAGCCCCCACGCCTGAAGCCCCTGCCCGGGCTGTGCGCGGCTGGCTCAACCA